TATGACTGAAGAGCAGGTTCTCGATGGGGTTATATACCGTTCAACATTTTGAATACGGGATATAACAAAGGAGGTAGCTGCAGCTGTGGTAAAGGAGGCTATTGAAGAGGATTTAGCAGAAGGATACCGCGAAACGCATGCCCGAGAACTACAAAAACCTAGTCAGGAACGAGATTGAAGATTTCGTGAAGAAGAACATGTGGAGTCCAGAGTACCCGACATTGGTTTACAAGAACGATTAACCACCTGCCCAACCGCCGATAACATGCAGAAAGCAAAATAACAGCATATTCATATGTAGGGGTAATCCCCCCCCCCCCCCCCCGGCGCCGCCGGCCTTGCTCCACGCTCACGTCCAAGTACAACGCATCTATCAACGGCTGGCTGCACTATCCAACGCTGAATTCCAGCGGGTCACCCAAGTTCGCTTTCAGATGATGCCGAAAGCCAGCTGTCCCTCCTGCGCCCACCGCGAGGTAGTAAGGGTTGCATGGGGTTATTCTCGCCAGCGCCGCTGAGAGTCGACACCTAGACCGGGCAGGTGGAGGTGGGCGGGGGGGTCATCGTATGTAGGTTTTCCGCAAAGTGACCTGGCTGTTAAAACCGCGCATGCACTCCTTCAGAGACCGCGTACAGCAGTATCGGCCCTACTTTTACTTCTGATACATGAGATACCACCCGCCAGCAATCGGGTGCTCAATGCGTCGCTGCCACGATTTTCACTGGATTCGCATGGCGTCGTCTTCGTTGTCAACACCAATGTCCTGTTGCGACGAGCGTATTTGCACTCCTGACGTGGAACGTTCCGTAGTGCATGACGTCATCCTCCTCTCCTGTCCTCACGAACTCCTCGAAAAGGGGGGCGGTGGGGGACAAACCAACCGCTCGGCTATTCTATGCCCTGCAGATCGCTCGTTGACAACAACAGCAGTGCGTCCGGGGCAGGAGCTCCACTACGCAACGTTGCAACTTTCGAGTCGAGCCAACAATCCTCTGAGCTCGTGCTTTGCACGTGCCCACAGCCGAGCCAGGCAGGCCCGACAATTTCACCATCCCTTCCCAACGCCAAGCCATCGATCGATTGAGCAACCATCCCACCCCACGACACACCAACTCCGCTACACGTCATCGCTGCCACTTCTCACCGCGGTGGTGCTAGCGGTGATGGGCTGCCTCGCGGCGCGACTCCGGCGTCCTTGGTCTTCTGGCCTTGCCGTTTCAATTGCCGACCTTCGAATTTTGCAACATATGGGTGGCGTGAAGGTAAGCAGGCGTACGTAGGACCAACAAGGTTTGGCTGTGCTACCGGGAGCTGACTGACTGGCCAGGGGAACCCACAGGATTGCTGCGGGGGGTGTACTCATGTAAACGCATGCCGTAGTCGTGGGACCATTTGACAGGGCTGCATGGGGGATGTAGGGAAGGATCAGAGCTACAGTAGGGTGCTCCAAAACACCGTCTCTCAGAGGATAAATAACACTGCCACGCATGTCAATTCTCTTTACCCTCTATGTCCCGTATTCCGTCCTCCGGTTCCCCCACCGCCGACTTTAGGTGCCGCGTCCTCCGCTCCGGATAAGGCCAGGAGCAACTCGTCGTCCAGCGCGCCGAGGAGAGGATATAGCTCCGTCGTCAGGAACAGGGTGACGACCAGAATCGAGTACACCTATTGACATCAACGCACAAATTACTGGTGTTTGTGGGGGGGGGAGAGAGAGGAGAGAGCGAGGAGGTGCAAGAAAGAAGGGAAAAGCCACAGGCGGGACGTAGGCGCCGTGAGGCACCTGACGGGGGCGATTCGAGCACCTGTTACAAGGGGCGCAGGGTTAAGTGCGCTCGTGCTTACGCGCAGCAGTCGATACCAAAAGGCGGATCGTCCCCGCGGCAATTAATAACATCTACAAGTATGTACCTCGGAGCACTACACGCCACAAATACCAATGACTCAGTGATAATGTCTCCCTCTCTGATTTTCGCTCTCTGATGTAACCATCTGCACACACACACCCTCTCTCTCCCTTGTACATCCCCCCCCCCCCTCTCACTTGTTCGCGAAGGCTCGTGGCGCTCCCTACAAGCCGCTGGAACTCTAAAACGGCCGTTAAAGTGGACAGGCCCCACACGACTCTCGCCGCCGTCCACAGCATCACCACGCGCCCGACCTGCGCGCAAGTTAAGTTCACAGAATGGCGGGGTTGAGGACAAAGGACGATAAGATATAGACGTGTGTGCTACGGGATGGTCATCGTAAAATGGCACGGTATGGTAAAAAAAAGTGATTCAAGTGCTTCCGTCCTGGAACGGCACGGTATAGTATGCTATGGAGCCACAGGGACTTCTTTAATCAGTCATCAGTGCGGACCAGCCTGACCGCCCTTACCTGCACCAGGTACAAGAACGTAGAAACGAAACGCTCCAAATACATGCACCAACCAATAGAATCTCGTTTTCTTGCGGTAGTTTCGGTAAGCTCGTGACCACCTAAGCTCTTCCGATAATCTACATATTTCGCTTTCGAGGAGCAGGGAAGAGGAGGGAAAAGCTATCCAAGTAGTCCAAACAAGTCGTTACTTCGTCAATCGCGACAGGAACGGAAATAAAAAACAACACACGGTAGGCCCGGTAGTGTATTTTCGCTCACAGCTCTTGGCCGGAGTTTTTTTTCTGACAAAAACGGCAAAAGCAGTAAATCTTCATTTTTCGTGCAAGACACGAAATTCGCAGCAGATCAAGGCAAGCATTTCATGATCTTGGCAGAACTTTTTTTTTCTTACGAAAACGGCAAAATCGGCAATCAATTGAATTTCGTGCAAGACACGTACCTCGCTGCAGATCAAGGCAAGTATTCTATGATTTTGACCGGCATTATTATTTTTTTTACAAATACGGCCAAGACGGCAATTGTTTTTATTTTCGTGTGGTGGACGCACTGTTATTTTTTCGTGTGGTGAGCGCACTGTAGGGTCGGCTCGTTGTTCTGGTGATCTGTTCGGCCATGTGGTACACTAGTGCCCGCGGCTTGATCAACCATGTGCCGCTCGCCTATCGCCCCAACCACCAGAGCAAAAAAAAAATAAATCAAGGACCAAAAGGCGCTGCAGCTTGATCAACCATGCGTATTTTTCCCTTACCCGATACTGCCCCCCGCCCCCTGCACAAACAACTCTCACATACACACGTGGTCACGTGTGCACACCGCGGTCACGTGTGCACACCGCGGTCACGTGTGCACACCGCGGTCACGTGTTCACACACGCGTGTTGAAAAAAAAAAGTGCGTTTCAGCGGAACGTTGTGTTGTCCGTGTTGTCCGTCCATCCGTAGGTTCACATGCTTTTAATCCACACTTTGTACGTCATCACCACGTGCTCCACGCACAGACAGACCTTCACTTGCCACTAAAAAAGACAGCAGGGCGGCCCAAGCACACCATACTCTCAATCTGAACTGCCGGTTGATACGCATGCCCCAATCACTCAAAAAACACAATCCCAAAACCATTTGTCTGATTTCTAGCTGTAGCGCGAGCAGAACAGGATAATGTGCATTACAATACTTCCTCCCCGTGCTCTCGAAACCGAGCAGTACGTTTCATGTGGTACGTGTTGCGAAACATCGCTGAGGCATGAATGATGGGTCAATAAAAACAACAGTTAGTGGACAAGGAGTCATTGCCCTTCAATTCAATCTTCGGTCGGTTCAAGCAGGTACACCTACTTTCGTTTACCCTGTTACCCTGATTTCATTATTTTCACTTTGGAGACTCGGCATCCTTTAAAAATCCCCATTCCTGCCTTGAGAAGTTCCTAAAAGTGGGTAGACTACCGGGCGTGGTGTCACGTAAAGAGAGGTAATACATAAGAACTAGAAGGTAGGAGATTTACGAGAAACAAGTTGGCGTTCGCGCACCCTATCACATGCACGGCGGATCACGGATCGACGACTGTCACGCAACGTGCTTGGGTTGTAGAAAGCCGCACCAAACAGAATCAAGCGGAGTTGGACCGTGTACACTACAGACTCGCTGTCGCGGTTTACGAGGCCCCAAAGTTCGCGATCGCAAAGAATTGTGTTGACAACAAAGCAGAGGGACCCTTGGGGTACCAAACCAAGCAACTTGATGATACGCTCAAGGCTCTTACTCGCCACCGCGCTCTTTATCGTACCTGTCTCTTCTCGCGGCAGACGCAACCCGCAAGTTCGTACAAATCTTCTTCTACCGCGAAGAAACAAAATGCGGTTGTGGATGGACAGAGACTCACGGGAGCGTCTTGGATTCGCGAGGCTCATTTTCACCACATACTATTAGTATCATTATTGTCTCCTATTTGACATAATCAACGTTGTCCCCCATTGTTATATGGTGCTATCTCTCTCTCTCCCTCTCTCTCTCTCTCTCTCTCTCTCTCTCTCTCTCTCTCTCTCTCTCTCTCTCTCTCTCTCTCTCTCTCTCTCTCTCTCACCCTATCTCTGTCGCGCTTACCCGATCCATTCTGAGCATTGCCGCCTCCGACTTGTAAGGAAAACCGGAGAAGGTGCACGTGAGGTAGGAGAACAGCACCGCCAGGAGGAGCGGCAGGAGAAGGTTGACCGAGGTGATGAACAGGTAGAGCACCGAGAGCACCCCGGACTGTCGCGTTCGTCGGCAGGGAAGGGGAATCGGACACGGGAAAGACCAACAGGGAAACAGGGCAAGAAAGGACGGGAGGTCACGGCGTGGAGGTGAGGAACAAGTATCGCATCGTCTCGGAGACATGAGGTGGGCGCTATGATGGGCCACAGCGATCCAAGTCTGACCACTGACGCAAGGCCGCCCGCTTCGTTCGACCCCACGTACTCCGGTCAAGGACAGGGGAACACAAAGAGTGCTCCTCTCTTGCCGATCATTCTCCTGTGCAATAACTGCTATTGTGGGCAATCAAGATGGCGGCCGTCCGTCAAAAATGTCTTCCGCGGGTGTTCCCCGCCATCGTGTTGCGTTCCCCGTGAGTACTGGTCCGCAGCGACGGGGGGGGGGGGGGGGGGGGGTCCCTATCACTGTAAAACCCCTTTCATTAAAAACTCCTTTCCTATC